ATAGAGAGCGTTCTGACCAGCTGTCTCTCTCTGTGGTGTGGAGGCTGCAGAGCTTCTGACTGGAAGAATGTGAGGAGGGTGGTGAGGACAGCGGAAGGAATCATTGGGGCTCCTCTTCCCTCCATTAAGGACATTTCATCACAGCGCTGTGTGTCCCGAGCCCGTAATATCATCAAAGACCCCTCACACCCCCACCATGGACTGTTCTCCCTGCTGCCCTCTGGAAAGAGGTTCCGCAGCATCCGCTGCAGATCCACCAGGTTGTGCAACAGCTTCTTCCCCACTGCCATCAGACTGTTGAACCTTTGATCCACAATCCGAACTCTGCACCTATTGCACATTATCGGGCATCAAATGCTGCTGAACTTTTAACTTTTAGCCCTTTAAATTGTTCATCTCATTGTATTTTTCAATAACGCATTTTTTGCACAAATGCCATTTTGCACTGAACCACGGCAACTTGCACACTGTCTCTTATCCTCTGCACTGTTCACACTTTGACCACTGCTGCACTTTTTGTATTTTTCTATAACTCGTGCCATTTGAAATATCAATGCAACGTTCATAAGCTGTATGTAACGCAATTTCGTTCTGTATGCACCCTGTGCATACAAAATGACAAATAAAGAAGTCTAAGTCTAAGTCTAAAACTGTGTTATTTATCATCTACGAGCTCAGCCTCTTAACCTAAATATTTGTGTTGCCTTAGAATTCGTTATTTATAATTACATAGGAGCGGGTCTCGCAGCCATGGAGGCAGACATCTTTGCGATACGGCAGCGCAGAGCCAACAAACTAGTGATTGCGAGATCTCCAAAACGTCACAACGATGTAGAAAAAATAACGGGTATATTTATTATCTTAAGTCTACATGAAATCTATACCCTACACAGACTAATGAAATACTATCTGTAAAATTATCTATGTAAACAAACCTCATCACTTGAGAAGGTAGGTGATGCGGACGTCGTGGAAGACATTTTGTCCCGTAACGCTCGCCGTACTGTTGGGGGGGGGGGAGAAGCGGTGGGGGGGGGAGACGTTCATGTTGCTGCAGTCTGCAGTCTGACCGCTAGATGTCGCTAAAAGTTACACACTGTAGCTTTAATATATAATAGAGAGAAATCTAAATTTTCCAACAGTTATGCGTCCGAATCCATTGACTGTATATATATATATATATATATATATATATACACACACACACACACATTAGGGCTGCAACAACGAATCGATAAAATCGATAAAAATCGACTTTTAAAAGCGTTGGCAACGAATTTAATCATCGATAGGTTGTGTCGCACGATTAATGCTTCATCCGCTGCCGCTGTCATCACATCCACTTGACTGAAACGGGGGAAGAAAAAAAATACAGCAGAGCGAGCCAGCGCCGCAGGTGCAGTGTTGCCAACTCAGCGACTTTTCAGACCCCTCCAGCGACTATATTTCAAAAAAGCGACTAGCGACAAATCTGGCGACTTTTTTACGGTGTCACTGGCGACTTTTGGAGACTCTTACGTGAAAGCATGTATCGTTCCTACTCTGCCGTGGGGCGCCTCCCCGTCCCAACCCTGTTCTTCCGCAGGAGTCCCTCTCAGCGCTGCAGTCAGATCCACAGGATGTTTACCCTCAGCGTCCAGACTGCAAATGAAGCGCGCATGCGCCGGGATTGACGGCGCAAATTGATCACAATAATTAAAACTTTACAAAGCCTGCGCTTTGTAAAGTGAAAAAAGTCGTAGCATGCAACTTTTGTAAAAACAAATGAACATGGCACGGAATCACCACTGTTATGATGCAGCACCTGAAAAGGAAACACGTTGGAGCCTTTGATGGCAGTGAAGAGAGCTCATCAGCAGGGTGAGCGGCCATGTTTGTTTGGTTTTAAAGTGGGGAAACGTAACGTTAGTTTCTCAGGTAGCTCATCTGATGCTTTCCTTACCGTGTTAGTAGGTTACAGACAGTGATAAGGTTGGCTACTTACTTTACTTTTAATTTCATTTGAATTAGCTTAAGCAGCGTTTACATTTACTTTATAAATAAATTAACTTGCAAATTATGAGGGCAAGGCTTTTAAAGTTTAAATCTGGCAAAGATAAAGTAAAGAAGATCCTGCAATTTATGGAAGTAAAGCAGAATAAAATCCAGCAAGATCAGTAATATGTCAACTAGGGCTGGGCGATAATTCAAAAACGATATATATCGATCGATAGACGTGTGGCGCAATAGAAAAAAAGAGGGTCGATAAAAGTTCGATAAAAAAGAAACGCAGTTTATTTATTTGTTATATTTATTTTGGTCACTTTTCTGGTCACTTTAGTTTATTCTTTGTCAGTATTTAATAACATAACTCAGGTCTCTTAAGTTATTTTTCTTTAAAACAATTCTGTTATGGTTAAAAAAGTTGGTTAAATAAAGATTTAATTAGAAGTCTGTGTTTGTGTTTTTTATTAAAATTAAATGATTTAGCAATATTATAAAAAGTCCAGGCAGAGCTGCACATAAAATATGGTTTCAAATCTTTTCAATAATTATCGATATCGATCAATATGCATTTTTTTTTTTATCGATAAGCTTTTTTTCTATATCGCCCAGCCCTAATGTCAATTAATTATCTGCCACATTCCCATGTAAATATCTGTCTTTGGAGGATGTGTTTTTTAGCACCCCTAGTTCTCTCATTTTTATTCCAAATACAATTTATAATTTGAATCACAGGGCTATTTTCATCTCTATGGTTAAAAAATCCCCATCATCATCCAGCAGATGTTCAGTTTCTGCCCAAATATTTTCTTTCTGTGGATTTTTGTAACAGGGATAAACAGGATCCAGGGGCGTGTCCAGACATTTTTGATAGGGGTGGCACCAGTGGGGCACTGATTTATGCAGGGGTGGCATGAAGTATGAGCAGGACCGCCTGCGCACAGACATATACACTCACATATGCACGCACACATGCACACAAGAAAATACACACCCACACCTAGACTTTGGTATATTTATATATTGATATTTGCTTGATGAAACTGTGCAAAACTTGGTAGAGGTACAGACTGTACAAAACAAATATAGCTTACCTTACCATGCCAACATAAGTAAACAATGCACATAAAAAAAAAAAAACACAGTCCACCTATAAAGTGCAAACATATTTAAAATACATATGCCTATGAACAAATTATTTAACCAAACCTTCCTTCCTTCCTTCCTCCCTTACTCCCTTCTTCCTTCCCTGACCTAAGGAAAACAGGAGGGTCAAAACAGTGCAATTCGCCTGTTCTTGTGTTTGTTTGCAAACACTGTGATAAAATCATCCATGTTGAGTGCCCTCGCTCTTCTTGACTCAATACTTAGCAAACCTAAATGGCTTAGTCTGTTGTCTAGCATAGTTGTCCTCAAATGAGTTTTAATGAGCTTTAGAGCTGAAAAACTTCGCTCACATGCAGCACTGCTGACTGGGAGGGCTATAGCTATTTTGCATAGCCTGAAGAGCTCAACAAACACCTCCTGGTATGGTTCCAAAAACACAGTTAAATCTAAGATGTTTCCCAACTGTGCTGTCCCACTCTCAGCTTTCCTTGACAAAATTCTTCTAGCCTGGTGAAGCTCATGAGTAAGATCTTCCTCATTACACTCATATATTTTTCCAAAGTCAAAGACCTGATCATCTTTAAGGAATGTACTGCTTTTAGGATTTAAGGCCTGTATACCTCTCATTACTGAACAGTTCATTTTTGAGAACCTTCTTTCTATTTCAGCAACTAAGGTGTCAAGGATGGGGTAGAGTAGTTTCTGCCTGAATGCATCTTTGTCTGCATTACTGTTGTGCAGGCCTATAGTGCATGTCACATACGACCCACAAAGTTTGGTGCTGACTTTGTGTGCTCTTTTATTCTCAACATTCTCAACAGCTATGTTGCAGTGTTTGGCTGTCTCTACTATGTCATTCCACAGTTTATCACTAAATGCCTCAGTCCTATACTCATGAAAAGTATCAAGAAGTGACTCCACCATGTCTGCTGCCATAGCTAAATCAACTGAGGGTGACTGCAACAGGTCAGAAAGCAGCTTTGTGTCACCGAAAACTTTTCGGAAGGTTGCAAGGAGGCCTATGAATGTGAGGTCAATCTGTGCAAGCAGACCTCTAGCATCAATGGACCTGTCTCTGTGATTTTCTGCACTTATATTTTGAAGAACACACAACACAGCTGGTAATCTATCCATCAAATTCCTGCAAGCTAGTGCTCTACATGCCCATCTTGTGTCCCTTAATCTTTGTAACTCTCTAGGTGTGCCACCATACATCTCTTTCTGGACTGTAAGCCATTTCTGGTGCACATAAGAGCCTGACATGTATACATAGATCTTCTCAAGTAGCGAAAAGTAACAATCGGCCTCTGGAACTGATTTCACAGTGTCAACCAAGACCAGGTTTAGACAGTGTGCATTACAGTGGACATAAAACGCAGTTTTAGCCTCTGTCTTGATTCTGGCTGCCACACCCGAATGTTTACCACTCATTACTGAGGCGCCATCATAACCTTGTCCAACAAGGTTCGATTTGTACTGAAGGCCATAGCTTTCTAAGCACTTGATGATCATGTCACTAAGCCCCTTAGCATCTAGATTTTGTGCGTGCTGGAATTCAAGGAAGCTTTCATGCACAGCCCCATTATATTAATATCGAAGTACTAATGACAGCTGTTCCTTTTTTTTGGAGATCTTTGGTTTCATCAGCGATGATGGAGAATACCTCACTCTCTTTCACTTCTTTCACAATGGAATCCTGCACCATACTGGCTAAGCACTGTAGAATTTCATTTTGTATGGTATTGCTTATGTATTTGGCATTGCCTTTTGCTTTCATTTTTTTGGCTACCACAGGATTGTGTTTAGCAATCATTTCAAGAATTTCTAAGAAATTCCCTTTGTTGTCAGACTGCTCAGACTCACAGTGCCCTCTTTGTGCCATATTTTGTGTGGTTGTCAAAAGCAATACATCTGCAACAGTTTTAATGTAACTGCGATTCTCTTCGACCTTCTTTTTGTACTCTTTGTTGATCATGTTTAATACAGAAGCATCTGTAAGTGCAGCCCTCTTGTGTTCACTCCAAGCTAACATGGAAGTAATGTGAGAATCTGATTTTTCATGCAACTTAAAGCCAGCATCTTTATACATTGCTTTTTTCCAATGTGAAAAGCCGGATTCTGAGGTGAACACAGATTCTGACGTGCTAGGCAAAGAGAACTGCCTGCATGCATAGCAGTACGTTGAGTCTTTCATTATTGAGTACTCAAGCCATGAAAACCTGTTGTACCAGGATGGATTGAACGCCCTCCTCTTCTCCCCTTGCATGGTTTTTGGATACAGCTTTAACTGGGGTTGAGTGGGTCCTGTTGCTCTTGACTGTGAAATATCTGTAAGTGACAAATGTATGGGAATCAGGACCTTTTAGTGTCACATAAGTCACTAACTTAAATGAATTGTTAAGACATACCAATAGGTCCGGGCCGGCTATAAGAGGCTCCCACACCACTATCCCCCTGTGGATGGCCTGCAAGAACATCAGCACTGGACACACCTGTAGCAATACAGAGATTTTATTAATTTAAATATATTTCATCTTGCCACATTTAGATTTTAATCACCAGTATTATTGGTATCCTGATCTAAATAAAAGCAGATACTGTGATGTTAATTTAAAAAAAGGTAAAGCATACATACTATGCTGCATGTGTGATGGTGAAGGGCCCTCATCACAAGAATCTTCACCTGATTCTGCAATAACACATAGGTTGTCATTAGAATGAAAATGTGCCTAAGTATATTATACTTCATATGAAAAATGAATTGTTAAGACATACCAATAGGTCCGGGCCGGCTATAAGAGGCTCCCACACCACTATCCCCCTGTGGATGGCCTGCAAGAACATCAGCACTGGACACACCTGTAGCAATACAGAGATTTTATTAATTTAAATATATTTCATCTTGCCACATTTAGATTTTAATCACCAGTATTATTGGTATCCTGATCTAAATAAAAGCAGATACTGTGATGTTAATTTAAAAAAAGGTAAAGCATACATACTATGCTGCATGTGTGATGGTGAAGGGCCCTCATCACAAAAATCTTCACCTGATTCTGCAATAACACATAGGTTGTCATTAGAATGAAAATGTGCCTAAGTATATTATACTTCATATGAAAAATGAATTGTTAAGACATACCAATAGGTCCCGGCTGGCTATAAGAGGCTCCCACACCACTATCCCCCTGTGGATGGCCTGCAAGAACCTCAGCACTGGACACACCTGTAGCAATACAGAGATTTTATTAATTTAAATATATTTCAACTTGCCACATTTAGATTTTAAACACCAGTATTATTGTTATCCTGATCTAAATAAAAGCAGATACTGTGATGTTAAAGGCACACTATGCAACATTTTTCAGTTAATTAATGTGTTCCATAACGTTTTGGATGATTAAATGAGTCATTTCAGGTTGAACAAAGGTATTCTCGGCCGCCCTGGTGGTCTGTGGGGGAATTACTGCACTTGCAATTGCAGGAGCACCGACCCGCACCCACAGGCTCAGAAGTCTCGCGAGAGTCAGTCTTGCTTTACGGCGAGAACTGCTACACCCCCCAGTTAAAAGCATGCTCGTTGCTAGCACAGTGGCGATCTTTGTGCAGCGCTGCTTTCACACCGGACGCAGCAAAAGCAGCAAAATCGCGTCTGCTGCTTCCTTTTTGCTGCTTGTACCAGTTAGTTCTGACGCGCGGCTGAAGCAGCTTTGCTGCTCTGGCTGCGCGGTGCAAAAGTGTGTCTGAGGCGCGTTGGGCGGAGCTTCACTATCCTTTCTCTGCCTTGCAGCTATATTTGCTGTGATCAGTGGGAATAAAGTAGTTTTAATATGTTTTTAAGTGAGAAAATACACCTGAAAACGTAATCAGTGCAGTCAGTTCATTCAGATTATCATCCTGCCTTACTATATTTTTTCTGTCGGAGCCGCTCAGACCCCCACATACCAGCGGTGCGCCGACAGTAGGGATCCCTTCATCAGCAGCCTCTGGCCGGGTCGCCTCCTCGCGGTTCACCGCGGCAGCTGGTAGGTGTTTTTCATCTAAATAATCCAAACTGCAGGCAGCAGGATAATAAAAGCGAACATATTCTGCCGGCAGATTTCTGCATTTTAAGTTAATTTAGGCGTTTAAGAGGAGTGATCATAGCGCTCTGATCATCAGCGCTGTGTCTCTCTCCCAGCCAGCTCCCAAATCAGCTTCTCTGATTGGTTGACGCGGCGCGTCGAGCAGCAAAAATTAAATTCTTCCATCTCGAGCAGCAGCGCGTTTGCTGCGCGTCACGCGCGTCAGATGCTTAGTCATTGGTTGCGTTCGCCTGTCTGCTAAGCTCAAAACAACCGCGCCTGGCTTGATGGAGAAACCAGGAGAACAGCTGTGCATATTTACGACAGTGCACTTTTACTTTCGCACTCTGGGGGGAGCCTCGCTGGAAAATCAACACCGGTTGCATAGTATACCTTTAATTTAAAAAAAGGTAAAGCATACATACTATGCTGCATGTGTGATGGTGAAGGGCCCTCATCACAAGAATCTTCACCTGATTCTGCAATAACACATAGGTTGTCATTAGAATGAAAATGTGCCTAAGTATATTATACTTCATATGAAAAATGAATTGTTAAGACATACCAATAGGTCCCGGCTGGCTATAAGAGGCTTCCACACCACTATCCCCCTGTGGATGGCCTGCAAGAACCTCAGCACTGGACACACCTGTAGCAATACAGAGATTTTATCAGTTCATTATAATTCAAATTGTCACATTTAGGCTTTTCACACCAGTATTGTTTAAAAATTGTCTACACACTTAATGACAGTATATGACACTGTAGTATATTTGAAATATCTCAGTTCGAATCAATGCACATAATGTTTTAAAGAAGGTAAATTCATACGTACCCTGATGTGTATGTGATGTTGAGGGTGACTCTATAATAATACATAAGCTGTGATTAGAATGATAATACAATCAGCCTTTCCTAAGTAAACTAAGAGGTATGGTACAATCAAACCAAATTAGTAAGTTCAAACATGAGAACAAACTTGAACTATCAGGATTTCACATACCAATGTGTACAGCTGAGGCTGAAGGCTGGCTCTCATCCTGTGACTGACTGCTCTGCCCCTGCTCTGGCTCTATCTTAGATTTCTTCCTTGCGAAGAAATCTTTAATATTCTGACTTCTTTTCATACTGTAATAGTCCCATAATGCACGACATTCTTATACAGTATGTTGTACAATAAATAATTGTGCACACACAAGAATGAAAATGACATGTAAATGATGTTATAGGGGTCTAATATAACAGTTTTACTCAGTACAGAATAGCTAAATGTTAGCGTTAGCATCGTTGACAGTCAAAACAGTGTTTTCTAACGAGATGAGGAGACGACAGCCGTGTGCCAATTACAATAAAACAAATAAAACAAGACAGTTTAGCATGTTTAGCTTATTACCGTTACAGCTTCTAACTACAGGCACAGTAAGTGTAGTAAAATGTAGGCTACTCACATATTTCCCAACGTCGCGCCAGAGACGTGCTGCTTTCTGATAGACTGGAGAATGTATTCACCTGTAGGTTCATCAACGTCTTCTTCGCATCTTCTTCAACTTCAAATCAAAACAAGAGCACATTTTACGTTCAGTGCAGTGGCCCGCCTCTGACTGGGCATATAGCCAATCATATTTTAAAATTTTGGGGTGGCACTTGGGGTGGCCAATCAGATTTCAGGGGTGGCCTTTGCCACCCAAGGCCACTCCCTGAACACGCCAGTGGATCAAACATAGTTTGTATGAACTCTGTTTGTTCTCTGCTTCCAAACTCATCATCTCTTCATCCATTCCTGCAATAAGAATTTTCTTTTAAAGTTGTGAGATTCACTCTAGAATCTCACAACTTCTTCCTGGTCTGTTGAAGCACCAATAGTCTGCATCCGATTATTTAATTAATTGCTCTTAGTTTTTTGGATTATATTTTCTAGTTACCGACCTGTTTTTACTATAATTTAATTTGACAAACCGTGTCTTCTCTACATTCTTTTTCCTGTTTGGTGCGATTGCAATTGCGGGTCTTGATCTGGACTGACCGGAGCAAAAAAGAGCTCAGCTCCGTATTTTGACGGTGAGGGACGGAGAAGACGTACGTGGGCAGTGAAGAGCGGAGTATGTGGAACAGCGCTCATTGATTTACATGAAAGACAAGGACTCCTTACGTGAGCGGAGCGCTGGAGGAGTATGTGGAATCTGGGGGTAAAGGAGGACAAATACACGTCCGGCTTCCATGTCAGGCTCGAAGGCAAAATACCTCCAAACAGACTCTTGCCTCTATCATTTTCAACCCAAACTGGTTGTTTTGGCCCTGCTGCAGCAGCACTGGCCATGCTCTCTTCTGTTATTGTGCTGTCTCTCTGCCCTCACATACACACGGCAGCATGTAGCTTCTCGCTTCAGTCTGTAACTCCGCCCATATCAAAGTCAGCCATTTTGATTAGGTCACCAATAGGAAGATCCCACATCTGTTGACCGACAGCATGTGGGAGGAGTTGGATATCCAACCGAGGCGTCCTACAGACTGAAGCGAGCGGCTACATGCTGCCGTGTGTATGTGAAGGCAGCGAGAGAAGGCCGGTCCGCGGCGACGACGGCGGCGGTGGCTGTAGTATCGATACTTTTAAAATTGAGTATCGTATCCGGATACAACGTTTTAGTATCGGTACTTTTGACAACCCTAGTCCACATTAACCCTGTTCCAGAGTGATGGGCGAATCAGGGTAAGAAGAGAGGCAGGTGAAGTGATGCACCCACCATGCCTTGTGCCTACTGTACAAGCCTGTGGGGGCGGGGTTATGATCTGGGGTTGCTGCAGTTGGTCAGGTCTAGGTTCAGCAACAGGATGTGCTCAAAGAACGAGGTCAACTGACTACCTGAATATACTGAATGGCCAGATTATTCCATCAATGGACTTTTTCTTCCCTGATGGCACAGACATATTCCAAGATGACAATGCCAGGATTCAACGGGCTCAAATTGTGAAAGACTGGTTCAGGGAGCATGACTCATCATTTTCACACATGGATTGGCCACCACAGAGTCCAGACCTCAACCCCATTGAGTATCTTTGGGATGTGCTACAGAGGGCTTTGCGCAGCAGTCACACTCTACCATCATCAATGCAAGATCTTGGTGAAAAATTAATGCAACAATGGATGGAAATAAATATTTTGACATTGCAGAAGCTTATCGAAACAATGCCACAGCGAATGCATGCTGTAATCAAAGCTAAAGGCGGTCCAACAAAGCATTGGAGTGAGTGACCTTTTTTTTGGTGGCGACTTTTTTTTGGTCAGGCAGTGTATATGTATATATATATATATATATATATATTAGGGATGGGATGATTTATGAAAACCGTCAGAATCGTTCGGTTCGACTGTCTCGGTTCGGTGCGCGTGTGCTTCGTTCGGTTCATGCGCTGCTACTTTTTCTCATAGAGGAAGCGATTACACTCCAGAGCAGAAGGTGGCAGTGCTGCGACCAAAGCCAACTACCAGTAGTAAACAAGAAGAAGAAGAAGCGAAGCAGCTTAGCCGGGTGTAGCAGGGAAAAAAATCAGTTGTTGTGGAGAATTGTGTCGGACTGGCGAGTGGGAAAGAACTGGAGTTGGAAGACACGCCAGCAGCACTTTATAGGTCTGCTGTATGGGAGCGCTTTGCATTTAGAGTGACCTACGATGACGGCGGAAAGAAAGTTGTGGATAAAAGTGCAACAGTGTGCAAGCATTGTGCAACACGTTTTGTTTATGCTAACAGCAACATGTCATGCTAACCCCGAAATCCCTCATACTCCGTCAGCGCTCCGCCCCGCTGCGCTCCAGACCGGCTGCTCAGAGCAAAGCCTACAGCCTCCACTGTGGCTTCGTCTGCTCCCCTCTGATTTCCTTGGAGATGGTAGAGAGCATGCGCCAGATGATTAAATTAAAAGCAGCAAAACATACGGAAATTATCCAGAGTTTCTGCGGATCATTTAAAATAATTACAATCCATTATTTTTGGGGGGATTTTTTCATTAATTTCATAAATTTTTATGGGATTTCGGTGTAACAATCAACATGTATCGAACCGAAAACCGTGACCAGAAACCGTGAATCGAACCGAACCATGGATTTTGTGAACCGTTCCACCCCTAATATATATATAGATGTAGAGATATAGATGTAGAGATATAGAGAGAGGGAGAGTGTCTATCAAGTTTAATGGAAATCATATTAATCATACAAAACACTCAGTAGTGGTTGCCTCACATGATCCTTGGGATATACCAACAAATGGAGGAAATCATATTCATTACACAAGATCACTCAAATATTAGGCTAACAGATAGCTACAGAAACCGGCTAGTAAAACATCACTTATTTAATTATCAGGAAAACTAACATTGGGTTTGTTTACTGGGAAAATGAAAGTAAAAATAAGTTTAAACATAAAAGTTGAGGTTCAAACCTGTATGTCAGGGCTGAAGTGCATGCTGGGAGATGTAGTTCCAGTCTGTTTATATGTAGTTGGATTATCAAAAGAATGATTAAACTGGAGTGTCCTTTATTTAACAACCAATAGAACCTCTCTGTTGTTTGTCTTTTCAGACCACCTGCAGGATTATTTTGGAAAAGAAGAGGGTTTCTCTGACCAGCAGCTCTGTGGACAGGAGAGGAATTCCAGTTTGGACCAAAAGGAACCAGAACCTCTGCAGATCAATGAAGAGCAGCAAAAGCCAGAACATCCCTGGACAAAAGGGAAAACCATGGAACTCCCCATAAGTGAGCAGGAAGAGACAGATACAGGAGGGAAACCTTTCTCATGTTTGACATGTGGAGAAAACTTTATAAAAAAACAACATTTAGTAGATCACATGAGAACTCACAAAGGTCAGAAGGCTTTTGAATGTCTGTCGTGTGGAAAAACCTTCACTCAGAAATCCAGTCTTGTTTCACACATCAGAATTCACACAAACGAGAAGCCCTTTTCCTGTACCATTTGTAACAAGAGTTTTACCCACAAGAGTACTTTGAATTGTCACAAGAGAATTCACACTGGTGAGAAGCCTTTTGTATGTCTATCCTGTGGAAAAAGCTTTATGTATAAATCTCATCTTTATAGTCACACCAGAAATCACACCGGTGAGAAAGCTTTTCCCTGTACCATTTGTAACAAGAATCTATCTGACAAGCGTAATTTGACTTCTCACATGAGTATTCATACAGGTGAGAAGCCTTTTCCATGTCTGTCCTGTGGAAAACGCTTTGCTCAGAAATCTACCCTTAAAACACACATGAGAATTCACATGGGTGAAAAGGCTTTTTCCTGTACCATTTGTAACAAGAATCTATCTGACAAGCGTAGTTTGACTTCTCACATGAAAATTCACACAGGTGAGAAACCTTTTGAATGTCTGTCCTGTGGAAAAAGCTTCACCTCAAAGTCTTATATTAACAGACACATAAGAATGCACACAGGTGAGAAGCCTTTCTCTTGTACAATTTGTAGCAAGAATTTTACTGACAAAAGTACTTTTACTTGTCACATGAGAATTCATACAGGTGAGAAGCCTTTTGAATGTCTGTCCTGTGGAAAACGCTACATTCAGAAATCTAGTCTTGATAAACACAGGAAAATTCACACAGGTGAGAAACCTTTTGAATGTCTGTCCTGTGGAAAAAGCTTCACTAAAAAATCTAGTCTTAACACTCACATGAGAAAACACACAGGTGAGAAGCCTTTTTCCTGTGCAATTTGTGGCAAAAGTTTTCCTCAAAAAGGTCATTTGACAGTACACATGAGAATTCACACAGGTGAGAAGCCTTTTGAATGTCTGTCCTGTGGAAAAAGCTTCCGTCAGAAATGTGATCTTAATACTCACATGAGAATTCATAAAGGTGAGAGGCCTTTTTCCTGTGGAATTTGTGGCAAAAGTTTTATTACCAGTAGTAGTTTGACATCACACATGAGAATTCATACAGGTGAGAAGCCTTTTGAATGTCTGTCCTGTGGAAAAAGCTTCCGTCAGAAATGTGATCTTAATACTCACATGAGAATTCATAAAGGTGAGAAGCCTTTTTCCTGTGCAAATTGTGGCAAAAGTTTTCCTCAAAAATGTTATTTGACAGTACACATGAGAATTCACACAGGTGATAAACCTTTTATCTGCACGATTTGCAGCAAACGCTTTAGCAGAAAAGATAGTTTGACCCTACACATGTACAGAATCCACACAGGTGAGAAGCCATCTCCTGAATGATTTGTCCCAAAGGTTTTAAGCGAGAAGGTAATTTGAGTATTCAGTTGACATTTATTAATGCATGATGTGGAAGGGTTTGTATTTTTTTTAAGTCATAGGGAAATCATATTTTAATGTCAAATCATTGTTGCTTAAGCATGTATGTAAATGTACTCTTTTATCATACGATATTGTCCAAAAGAAAATTTCTGTAAAAAAAAAAAAAAAAATCTGTCTTAAAATCTTTGGGGTTTTTTTTCCGTTATCTTACGCAGGCCAGTTAGTTATTTCTTCTTGTACACCTAAATTCGGCAAATCATATATCAACAGTCATCTGTCAGTCAAATTTTTCAATCATTGCATCTTGATTCATATGTCGCAGCTAATATAGGTGAAGGTTAAAATAAGAAATAAAAATAATTTCCTTTACCATTGAGTTGCGTCCCAGTGTTCGCGGGGATGGACGTCTGTGTCTTCAGCAGGCGTAGAGCTAACAGAACTGGCAGCGTTGCGAGGCAAGGGCTCAAACATGTACGGCTGGAAGCCTTCTACACCAAACCAAGCTTCTGCCGCCCTGGCGTCCTCTTCCACAACATCTTCGTCCCCGCTTTCCTCCTCTAAATAAAAAATGGATGACGGAGGAGACTCATCCACGACCTCCGACACTAAACTCTCCTTCTCTTGCATGTTTGCGCTGTCCATAGCGTTCCTTTACAGTGTCGTTTCTAAGTCACCAATTTAGTGCTACTTGGTCCCAATGGAATTTCCCATTGGGACCAAGTAGCACTAAGTTGCTAACTGGTTAGCAAGATGCTTCCAAACATCGGCACCAATTAAACTTGCTGGTGAACCTTCTGCCACAACGACCAGCCCTCTTGATAAACGACCAATTACATTCACTTTATTCACTCGTGTAAAGTCGTGCACTACTCGGGAGAATATGGAAGAATATATACGGTTAGAGCAGCCGTTTCCCTACAACTTTAAAAACATTCGTGTCACTTAAGTTGCAGCAGTTAGATGCCACAGGAATGAACATTACAGGTGTTTTCCACGTTTGACTGGTGGTAAAATGTCCATCTAGAAACTTCTTCACCTCATTACTTGAGAAACTCACAGGTTAATGGTCTTTTTGGAGAAAAGGTTTGAGAAAGCCATTAAATAACAGCTTTGTTTACATAGAAACCAGAACAGATAAGGTGTTATATTGTAAACTGGTAAATATTCAGGTCCTGGAAGAATATGTGGATGTGAACATTTAAAAGTTAATTATTTAGGGCCTGAGTAAATTATAATAATAATAAATCCAATTTGTACCGCACTTTTCATTAAGAAAAATCTCAAAGTGCTACACAGTGCAAATGAAATCAAAGATAAAATCAACCATAAAAATCATGTGGTCAATAAAATCAAAGATAAAAATAAACAACATAAAAATCATGTGGAGGCAGAATAGGCTTGCTTAAATAAAAAAGTCTTCAAGCCTTTTTTAAAATCATTCAGTGGTTGTGGAGCTCTCAGATGATCTGGGAGAGAGTTCCAGAGACGGGGGGCAGCGACAGCGAAGGCCCGATCTCCCATGGACCTTAATCTGGAGCGAGGAAGGTGAAGGAAGTTGCAGTCTTGTGATCGAAGAGATCTGGTGGATGAATGTGGAGTGAGAAGGTCCTTCAGATAATCCGGTGAGGATCCGTTTAAACACTGATGGGTGATGAGCGCGATTTTGTATTGAATTCTGCAGGTGATGGGAAGCCAGTGAAGGTCATGCAGAATAGGTGTAATATGGGCAAATTTGCGGGCCCTCAAGAGAATCCTGGCTGCGCTGTTTTGAATGTATTGGAGCTTCTGAAGATGTTTTTTATGGATTCCAACAAACAGAGTTGCAGTAGTCTAACCTGGAGGAGACAAATGCATGAACGAGAGTCTCAGCATCAGAAAAAGAAAGAAACGGACGAATTTTGGAGATATTACGAAGATGAAGGAAACAGATTTTAGACAGATGCTTAATGTGATTTTCAAAAGTAAATTGAGAATCCATTCTAACTCCAAGATTTGTAACTATGGTGGAAAAGGGGATGTCTTGTCCAGAAAAGAAAACAGTCGTCATAGTTGAAGATTGAACCTGGTGAGGTGTTCCGATCAGCATGGCCTCAGTTTTGGAGCAGTTTAACTGAAGGAAATTCTGAGTCATCCACTTCCTTATCTCCTCCAGGCAGGTAGTGAAAGCATTAAGTGAAGATGGTGATGATGCTCCAGTTCTAATATAAAGTTGTATATCGTCGGCGTAGCAGTGAAAGGAGATGTTATATCGATTTATGATTTGACCCAAAGGCAGCATGTAAAGGGAAAACAGCAGGGGCCCTAATACTGACCCCTGTGGGACACCACAGGAGACAGAGACAGCCTGGGACTTGGCCTTGCCTAGGCTAACACATTCCAGCCGATTGGAGAGAAAAGATTTAAACCAGTCCAGAACGGTGTCACAGAGACCGACCTCCACATGAAGACGGTGTAGTAGGATGTTATGGTCCACAGTGTCAAAGGCTGCAGTTAGATCAAGGAGAACAAGGAGAGATGTAGACCCAGCATCAGCTGCCATGTAGATGTCATTAGTAACTCTCAGCAAAGCGGTCTCAGTGCTGTGAGCAGAACGAAACCCAGACTGAAATTTCTCGTACAGGGAGTTTTGTTCTAGATGAAGCTGCAGCTGAGCGGCAACAGCTTTTTCCAGCACTTTTGACAGAAAAGGAAGATGTGAAATTGGGCGGTAATTGGAAAGAATATCTGGATCCAGGGTAGATTTCTTTAGAAGAGGTTTAATGATGGCTGTTTTAAGAGGCAATGGAACATGACCAGATTTCAGTGATTTGTTTATTATTTGTGTGATTAACGGACTTATTGCGGCATGATTAGATTTTATGAGTGATGAGGGGCAGGGATCCAGGGCACAGGATGAAGGCTTCATTTTCTTGAGGATGCTCTCCACTTCACTCTTTGCAACTTCATCAAAGCAGCTCATGGACCCATGGTGTACAAGGGTAGAATGGCAGCCGGAGATCAGGAAGGCTGTGGAGCTGAGATCTAATAGAATTTACTTTGTTTTTGAAGAATGAGAGAAACAGATTGCATTTTTCAGTCGAATCCTCATCCTAGGTTTGTTGATTGGGATGAAGGAGATGTTTTATTGTCGAGAAAAGCTGTTTGGAATTTCCCGGACAGCTGTTGATAATGTTGGAATAATACTTAGACCGTGCTTCCTTAAGAGAAAAGGCATACGCTTTCTGATGTTCCTTATATGCCTGCTTGTGTACAGAGAGACCTGATTTTTTTACACGTCTCTCGATAGCACGTCCAACGGCTTTCATGTTCCGCAGCTCATCGGTGTACCAAGGAGCTGAGCGGCAGAATGACACCAGCCTCGACTTCAGTGGAGCATGGAGCTCCAGAAGCTCCTGGAGAGATTGATTGTAGTAATCCACAGAGTCAGTTACAGAAGAATGATTGACAGCAGTCAAGGAATGAAAAGCAGAAGACAAAGCCCCAGGGGAGATATTTTTCAAATCACGGAACTGAATAAGACGTTTAAATTTTGGAGCAGACAAAGTTGAAGGCACTTCTAGAGAAATGATACTGTGGTCCGAGACGCCCAGGTCATATACAGATAAGTTATTGATAGTTACAGTGTCTGTAATCACCAGGTCCAGAGTATGCCCCCTATTGTGTGTAGGGGCATCAACAAACTGAGTTAGATTAAGTGAGTCCAGAAGAGACTTAAAATCTGCTGCCAGAGGGGAGGAAAAATTATCAAAATGTATATTGAAATCTCCAAGAATAATATTTTTCACAGAACGGGCACAGAAAAAAGTTAGGAGGTCATGTATCTCTGAATTAAATGAAACATGTTGTTTTGGAGGCCGATAAAGCAATGCTATATTCATCTGGAGTGGGGCTTTGAGATTGAAGGCCAAGCATTCAAAAGAAGAAAAGTCCTGAAGAGCCAGATCGGACAATTTTAAATCACTGCGGTAAATTACTGCCAGACCACCACCTCGCCCCTTGCGGCGAGCTCTCTGCAGATAGCTGTATCCAGGGGGACAAGCTTCATTCAGCGAACTGTACACATCCGGTGGGTGCCATGTTTCAGTAAGGCACATAAGGTCCACATTTTTCTCCAGAATATGGTCATGAATAAGGCAGGATTTGTTGGTCAGTGATTGAACATTAAAAAGGTCTATTTTAATACTGGTTGAAGTGGAAGCCTCATGGAGAGGTTTTAGCAGACTGAAATCCACTCCACGTTTTCCTTGCCCCTTCATGCATTGAGTTCTTCCAGCCATATCAGGGAGCACAGACGCTGCATTCTGATGACGAAAGCGTTGCGCGACACGTCTGGTAGACCAGAAGGAAGCCATAGCGCCAGATCCAGCCTGCTGATGAGAAACAGTTCTCCTCCGAGAGCCTCTATGGACATAGCGGGGTCTACGCAGAAGACCCAGTCGTTTTAAGATGGAAACACAGGGTGGGATGGAGTAGTTGTTAAGTCTAATCAGCTGGGAGGTGGAATAGGTCAACATCGACGAGCCGGCCAAGCCTGGAGAAGCTAGCATGGAGCTAACCGCTAACAGCAGACCCACGGCTCCAAAACAGACATTCAGGAAACAGAGCGATGTAATCCACAGCATAACTTGCAGACTAGCACAGGAGAAAATCCAGCGAGAAATGACGACGGTTGATAACGACAACTTTTTCCGTGGAGAAGCGGCGAAGCGGTGGAGAAGCGGCGAACATTCAACGCCAGCGTCCTCTCCCTCCGGTACAAACCTATGCAACAGGGGCTCAACTATACCTGATTCCTAGACTTTTAAAATACTTCTGTTAGTCTATAAATCCCTGAATGGCTTAGCACCTAAATACATCACAGACTTGCTAAAAGTGTATCAATCCTCCAGACCACTCAGGTCTTCTGGATCCAGCCTGCTCTGCATACCTAAAACACCAACTAAACATGGAGAAGCCTGTCTGAGAGTTTCCTGGAGATAAACAGTTGGTCTTTATTTCATGCAGAACAACCTGCAGCTACTTAACACTGACAGCCAGCTGCTCTACAGTCTCATTGGATCAAACTTGTGTCTCATCAGGAGACTAAGTTTCTGCTTAGAGACATGAAGGAATAGAGATGGACTCACTCAGTTTCTTCCCATGAACTTCTTCATAATGTAACTCTGCTGTCT